GGGGGGTAGTTGGTCAGCAACGGTGTTTGGGTGAGTGGAGCGCTTCAAGTTGCATCCACATGAATACCAGGACCAAAGGTTTACCAGCAGAACATTGTGTTGTAACAAAGTGATCAATGTTATACCTATTTTTTCACCAAAATAAGTGCATGTATGCAGGTTTTTTAAACATGAGAAAACCTGCTAAAAATAGGCTATAGTCTCCTATCACATTGGTCCCATGGTCTGTCATGTTAAATATCAGAAAACAGGATAGTAAGCAGCAGAAAGCAGCATGGAGGCCAGTAAAAAAATTGTATGGTTACTTCTTTTTATACATCTCTTACTTGTTCAGTCTCTCTCAAACTCTGTGCAGACTAATTTGGATCTGCTTGTGCAGAGATAGGTGGTGTTTTGTGGTTGTGGTGTCATTGCATCTTGCAGGTAAAAGGGCTAAAATGAGTGCATTCACGTGGATGTTGTATTTCCATCAATGCCGAACGGAGCTGGAGCCGATAAATAGCAGTGACTACTGCAGAGTCTTTTGACCTGCATGTGAATATTAATTGTAACCTTTCTCATGACACTCAAACGCCACATGTTAAGAAGTGTTACTGTTTTTTTTGTGTGTGCAGTGGGACAGGGGCATTATTAACCCTACCTGCCAGCTACATTTACTTTTCCCAGTGACATTAATTTAGATGTTACTGCATCCACAATTATAATTCAGTTATGATTAGGGATGCATGATAATATTGGCATGTCACCAGTACTGGCAGATATCGGCTTTGAAACAAACTATCAAAATTGGCCAACATTTTTCTTACTTTGAACAATAAATGAATGTTACATACAATGAAAAGTATTGTATTTCTTGTCTCCATCTGCTGGTGGGCTGTCACAATAAGAGTATGCATGCATAATATGGTGTTAATTCCACTACGGAGGAGACTTGATCACTAAAATTGGGTAGGGAAAAAAGAAGACATATAAATATAAGCGTAGATTATTGATTAAATGGGGTATCAGCAAAAATCTCTGTTAATAATATATATCATTCAGATAGTACTCTATATATGGACTACTTTTTTTGCTTGTGAACTTTTGATGTAAGTATTTCTACGCTGTAATAGTGCTGCTTTGGTTTCAGTAGAAGATCTGAGTCCTACATCTACCACCTCTATTTTTAATCGACTTTGAGCAAGAGCTGCTGCCTGGAGCATAATTGCGCTTTTATTTTGAAGGAAGCCCCTTGCTTCCTGTTTCAGATTGGGCGGTTTGACGGAACTGCGGCAGCGTGAGTCGACTTTGACGTCGAAAAGGAGGGAAGTTGAGAGGACACTTTAAAGTTGCCCTCCATCACGACGATCTGTGTGTAACTTAAGAACCTGAGGTCAGTGTGGAGGACCGGAGAGATGACTGACCTGTTTGTTTCTGTGGCGGTGTTGGGCTCTGCGGTGCTCCTCAGCGAGGCCATCCGCCGGACAGCGGCGCGTCTCCTCCCCGGAGCTTACTGGATTTACCTGTTGGAAGCGGCGTCCACCCTCCAGCTCTGCTGCTGCACCCATGAACTCAAACTACTGGGTGAGACGGCGCAGCTGGAGCTGCTGGTCGGCCTCACCCTCACCTACATCATGACGGTTATCCATCTGTCAACTTTCCGGGGAGCGACGTGTAACCCGAGCGGGATCCTGGAGAGCGTTTGCCGCGGGACCAACACGGTCAGGGCGGCCGTCGTGCTCATCGCCTGCCAGTTCGCAGCCGCGGTCGCCGCGCAGTATTTCGCAGCATCCGTCTGGTCGCTGGGTCTCTCCGACGTCCACGTCCGGCACCAGAGGTTCGGGTTCCGATGCTTCGACCCTCTCGGTGGGACTCTGATGGAGGCCGCGGCCGTTGAGCTGGGCTGCGCCTTCACGGTCCAAGCTGCCGCCTTGCATGTCCACAAACTGGACGAAAAACTTCGAGCTCACTTCGTCGCAGCTGTGATCACTGCTGTGGTTTACGCAGGTGTGTTGATTAACAGGAGGGGGTACCTGAGACCAAGGCTGAAACTAACCACTGTTTGATTTGATTTAAATGTTCATTAAACTATAAAACAAAAAGATAAAAATAAGCAGACCAGGCTCATCAAGAACCTTGAGATATATATATATATATATGTGTGT